GTATGAAGATACTCTCTACTCCATCGAGACCAAAAGTTTTGATGGAGCCTCTGAATGAATTGCCAACGAGACAAACGATTCAGAGCTTATTGCGAAAGGTCATCGTCAGGAGGACAATTTAACGGCTCCAAGTTTGTAGTAAGAGCTAAAAGATCGTTGGGGTCGGAGCTGGTAGGACACAGTTTTTTTTTCCTGAGGGGAACGCTCCTGCTCGAAGTGTGGACTCCATGACTCTGTCACAGCCTACCCACTAAAACCCATCTTCAGCATTCAGGTGGCTCTTTCTGGAACTGCTTTGGGGCATTACTTCAGAAAGAGGATGCTTATTGTTCCTAGTTTTTTTTTCCTTATCGCTGTCTATTTTCTCTCACCCTGATGTCTCTCTCCTTCGTGTCAATTATGTATTTGGTCAGGGAGCTTATCTTAGTCCAAATTTTTGCATCCTCCAGCATCTTATTTATTATGTTGTCTCACAAGCGATTTTGGTAAAACAGGGGACACGTGTGAATCGTTGTATTCATGCCACGTGCCACTATATGGGTGTCTGCAATATGCTGTGTAATGTCCGTTGTAAGTAGTTCTAATATGATTTGAAAGTTCATATAGATTATAACGTCAAGGAGCCACATTGTGTACTGCATAATTGATCATATCTAATCCATCTGAAGAAAAGTCAATGGAAACATTCAATTTGCCTCTGAATCTCTACTGATTTACTAAAATATGGGAAAAGTTATAGGCTGATAGGCACTTTGAACATTTTCTTCTTTCCTTGCACCTCGAACATGTTGGTTTTTCATTTCCATCCAGAGTTGCCTCTCTTGTGAAGGAATCCATAAGCAATGTGACACACTAAATTAGCCAGTTCTTTATGGTATGAAAAGAGACAAATCCCAGAAAGAAACGAAGATTACTGATGAGTGTCCACAGTGTGTGTACTTCATAGTGAATTTTAATTGACCAACGAAATTGTTTACATTCAAATATCTCAGCCAGGACTCTTGTGCTTTTCCGCTGTCGCTCAATTTTTAATCAATCTCCGTTGAGATCGATTAAGGTTTCTCAGTAATTCTGTTGAGGTCCTTCTAAAAGATATCGAAGGAATTTCTGGGCGTCTTGATGGTCAGAACCCATGATTCGAGGGGCAAATCTTTAAATCTGACTTTTAAAGTAGACTGTGCTAGTTACTTTGTCAGATGAATCTTCTGACCATAACTCCTTGATAACTTCTGCGAACGCTTTGATTAAAACACCTTTCATACGAATTAACTTCGGGATTAAAGTCTAATTTACGTATTTTAAAGTTGTTATTCTGAGAATAAAGTCAGAATTTTGAGAATAAAGTCGAAATTTTTTAGATTGAAGTGAAAATTTCCAGATTATAGTCGAAAATTCGAGTTTTAAAGTCGTAATTTCGAATTCCAAGTCGATATTTTCAAAATAGAAGTGGGAATTTCTTGATTAAAGTCGAAATTTCGTATTTGAAATTGTAATTTAGAGATCAAAGTCGGAATTTTGATTTGAAGTCGAAAATTTCGAGACTTAAGTCGTAATTTCGAGATTGAAGTCGTAACTTGGGGATTAAAGTCGGAATTATGTGTTTTAAAGTACTTATTCTAAGATTAAAGTAGAATTTCGGGAATGAAGTCGAAATTTTCTAGATTGAAGTGGAAATTTCGAGATTGAAGTTGGAAATTCGAGTTTTAAAGTTATAATTTCGAGTTTGAATTCGATATTTTCGAAATTGATGTGAGAATTTTTTATTAAAGTCGAAATTTCGAATTTGAAATTGTAATTAATATGTGGCTTCTACGCTTTCGTTTGAGGGAGTTTATTCAAACATTACATTTCTGCAATCAAAAAATTTATATTAAAATGAAAGTGCAAACAGTTACCTAATATTCAAAACTGAACTGAATAGATGTGTTGTAAATTTCAGTTTTATTATGGTGAATAATAAAATACACGACAGCGCATTGCCTTCACTGTACTTTTACTACCTAAAGGTTGAATCTTCTAATGCAATCTAATCAGATACTGAAATAATATTGACTATTCGTAATAATAATCAGTCTCACAACGACATTTCATAAAATTGACACTCGTTGCCCTCAACAGCTATATGCGTTTGTTGTTGAAAAAAAAAATACTTTTTATGCAGCGAAAGACTACTCATCAAGCTGAATGTGTGTTATTGCCATTGAAATAAAAATGTATATGACTTCTGTGCAGGTGATCATTAACAATTTTATGCATTCGTTCTGAACTGGAAGAAACTATGTTAATCGTAATTAAAACTACAAGCATGTTACCTATAATTAACCTATATCGTCATTCAACAGAAGAATGGCTTTCCCCCTTGAACATAAGGTATGTAACCGGTATTTAACGAGAAACACTTTTATTTACTAATTGTAGATTAGTGAATTTGAATAATGGAGTCGAGAAATTCGTTGAATTCATTTTCTTGAGAATGATATGCAAAAGGTGGATTTCCACCAAACGGACTCGCTTGCGACTAGTTTCGTTTTCAAAACTGAAACTTGTTTCAGTTTCGAAAACAATTCCGAAATCGAATTCCCCCAAACAGACAAAATCTAGCCTGATTTGCGTGTTTTGTTGTGTGTTGTGAACAGTAGACGTTTGGCTGTCCTTGTTCATCTTTCACTGCCTGAACCACTGTGCATGCTGTTTTTGGTGAGTGCATTGTCTTGGGATTGGGGGTTGAGCAAACCGGCCATCGGATGCCTGCTTCCACGTAGCCCCGCTGGATACGGGAATGACAGAATCACTCGTGGTTCTGTTATTCCCTAACTGAATGGCATCCCAACGACGGCTTACTCCTAAAGTATGTGTATCCGTACCGGGAGGATGAATGACACTGAGCCTATCAGCTGTCTCTATACGGAACCTTCGAGATACCGGGCGCCCTCTCGTCGTAGCATCGCCTTGTCACGATAATGCGGGGCTCTGATGTGATTGACCTTCTTTCCCTAGCTACTCGTGGGACTTTTATGGACAGAGTAAACTTAAAAATTCTTTCTGACGCTGAGTCTACAGAGGAAATGGATATCGAGCTTACCACTCCAACTGACCTCTCTGTGAATTTAGATCAGGAGCGAGAGCTTCTCAACTCTCCAACTCCTGATCCAATAACTGAACTTAAAAAAAGGTTTGGTGGGGCAGCCAGGAAACGACAGAGTCGTCTCCTCAAGAGCGGGGTACCTTATGAAACCACCGCCTTGCACCAAATTCTTGAGCGGCGTACGCAGAATCTGTCTCAGGTGGAGGAACAAACCCCCCCATGAGCAGGTTAGCGAACGTTTGCGCTCCAGTGATGATTCACCAAAACTAGAGGCAAAAACAGGTGAATCTAAGGCATCGTTAGGTAAAACGACGTGCAAAAACTCTCATATGGGAAGGCTGTCGCGGATATCAAGGTGGGAGTCTTGCACCTTGACTATCCGACTACCTCATTGACGATGAAACAGCAGAGAATATACTTTGTGCCTGCCCCGCTGGGAACCGAATTTGGTTTTTAGAATTCGGCAGAGCCGTACTCTTACCATTTGACCTGAAAGACCACTCACCATATGATTTGAAATCCCTGAAACAACTAAAAAAAAAGAAGAATTAAATATGAATGGCTGAAAATAACAATTATATCAAGCAAAATAAACCTGAAATGAAATAATAGTGAAATAAAATACAAGTAAAAATAGAACAATTGATAGGATCACCTTCTAACAAACTAATCGGCTTCATTGGGAAGCCGATTAGTTTGGTCAAGTGTGAATAGGTTTAAGCCACAATAAACACTTGCGGGTTGCGGTCGAATAGACCCACTAACTTTGGACCTAACCTAACACGAACAGCAATTAAATTGCTGCATTCGTCAACTGTCCATTGTTTTTTTTTAGCTCATGTCCTACAAAGGAAAATTGAAATGTATTCTCGTTTGAAATAAACAATACAATATATCAACAAAACTATCCTGCCTAGTGTCGACAATTGGAATTTATATCCACCACAGATTAACACTTCAAATAAAATAATAATGTCGCCGACCTCTTCCACATAGCGAAAGTTGTTTACAACCCTCCTTTTTTTGTATATCAACGACCTATTGGAATAAACCAGTAATCCAATATACAGTGTGTAAAAGCCAAATAGAATAAATTCATTATTTCGATTACGGTACATATTTTAACAAAATCCCGAAACACGTCAAATTTAAATTATAATTTGACATACTTCAACGGAAAAATGCTACACCTACCTTCAACCCCCGTCGAATGACAGGTACAATCCCCAATTTTTTAGGTTTTGAATGGAAATTATAGGTTTGTGATATATCGTTTGAAAGGTCTCTTCATTCTCTTTTTATGGCAACAATTAAGATTAATTAAATTAAAACTAGGGGGTTACCGACATTCGATAAAATACACTCAAAACTTATTTCATGTTGAGGTATTGATAATGAGAAAGTAAGCAAAAACCGTAGCAATGTTCTTTTCAGATGGTATGATAAAGGTTTGAATGAGTATAACAAACTCCCACTTTCGTTGAAAGATTCAGTAAATGTTACTCTGCAACAGAGCTTCTCCAACAGTTTCAGCCTCTTGGTTGGGTAAGGCTACTACTTCAGGCCATTTGGAGAAATAATCCATCAGGACCATTAAGTACTTGTTACCAGATATGCCCACAGCTAATGGTCCCAGAATGTCAACGGCGATTCTCTCGAAACGCACCCGCTGAGGTACTGCTTCAATTTTTCCCTCATCCTTGTCTTGGAACCCTTCCTCGAGGTGCACAGGTCACATCGTTTGTACCACTTCTCCACGTTTCAGTGGAGCTGTTTGAGTATATTAGAGATACACATCTTTGGGAGGATTATCTGGAGCTTGTGGTTTCTTCCATCCGTGCTTTAACATTTCCGAATGAGTAGGTCAACTCGAATGCACACGGAGTCCCATTGGAACCAACAACCCTTTTCCTACTGGCCGTGCTTGGAAATTTCTTTCCACTCCGGCCTCACTCCTTTGTTAATCCATTCAAGACGGGGTCCTCCTTTTACACTTCTGTGATATCTTGCTTCGTCATGAAGATCCGGATCCTCCTTTTGCACTACAGTGATATCTTGCCTCGTCATGAAGGTAGGGTCACTCTTGGAAGCTGTTGACGACTGTACCACACCATGGTCAGGTGATTCCTCACATCTTTCCTTTTCGATGCCAAATTTCAAAATCGTAAGTTTTGAGTCACCTGGCTTTTTGTCCTTCTGGGGTTTTGGAGTTGAGGAGCCAGCGAAGAGCTAAGTGATCTCAACTGATTGAGAATTTATGGCCGTATAAAAAGTGATCCACTGTTTTAACCACTACAAGGAGCTCTTTCCGGATGACGCAATAATTTCTTTCGGATGTTTCAAGGGACTCACTGAAATAGTTAATGACGACTTATTTTCCTTCTTGTTCCTGAGAGAGTACTGACCCTTTTCTATGTTGGGATGCATCCGTGTCAAGTATAAACAAGCCCGCTTCCTTTGGGTATGCCGAGAGAGCACTTGTCAAATGTCTCTTCAGGGCAGTAAATGCTTGCTGGCAGTCTGGATACCAATCAAAAGGGGGTTCTCTCCTCTGGCTTTTTCCAAGTCCTTCACTCAACGCCGGTACTAGCTACAGAGTCCAAGGAAGCTTGCATCGAGCTTGCTCTTCGGTGTTGGCAATTCATGCTCTTCGGTGTTGGCCATTCTTGCTCTTTGGTGTTGGCCATTCTTGCACTGCCTTGATTTTCTATGGATATGTTTCAACTTATTTTGAGGACACAACATGCCCCAAGAAATTCACTTTTTCCTGAAAGAGACATCACTTTTGGGATTGATCTGCAAATGAGCATTCCGCAGCCTCGTCAAAACTATAATGTCAACACTATAATATTGACAAGATATACCAAGTATGTTTTCCAGGTGAGTCTTCTTAGCACCAACTTCATCAAGTGTTAAAGTGTTGTGTGTGCATTGTAAACATAATCCAAACAGTATTAACTTGAACCGATATAATTCATTGCCGGTAAAAAAAGGCAGTCTTCTCTTAATTCCCATAAGGCTGAGAGGGCACATCGAACAAAATTTTCTAATTTACAAATTTCAACATTTTGTTTCTTATATCCACCATGAATCCGTAGGGAACATGCTGCTCAGTCCCACAATGAATTCGTCGACGATGTCGGTCACTAACACCTTCGTTTCTATTCCACAATTTCTAAGCCCGAGTATCACTTCAGTTTCTATATAAATCGTCAGTCTTATCTCTAATGGCTGTTTCCAGAACGGGTACTACTGATAATTTCTTCAAACTGCTTGTATTGGAAATGTCCTCGTTGCTCCAGTATGGACGGTGAGAGGCACTGGTAATGATTCTGAAATTTATCGATAACTAAACTGTTACTGTTGCGTCCTATCATGGAAATCGAATATCTGGGGGCTTGGGATGCAGCAGCGGCCTTAAATGGTCTGCAATAAGTTGACTATGAAGATTCACGATAAAAAAGGTTGGTGTTTTAATAAAACTACTGCTAGAAGGGAGAGATGTTGTTTCCGATTTGCATTTTTCTACAGTGATCCTTTTCTGCTCTGCGGATGCTTTCCGAAGTTCCCGGAATACCTATTCAAATTTTCTTCCCACTCCTTCTAGCTCCTTCACCAATTTTCTCTCAACGCCCTCAAGCTTTTTATCGATTACTTCTTCAAATCATTCATTTGAGAAGATTTTAATTCTTCAATTCCTTCAGGGCCTCTTGCAAAGCCTCGAACATTTTTTTGAACATTTCCATCCCTTCGTCATTGATACTCCTTATTTTCACCATAAAACATAAAATTTTCAATTATTCTACTTTCGACACCAAATGTTGAGTTTTCTCCGTGAATTCGACAATAATTGACCAAAGTGTACATTTGAACTCAACTTTATTTCACTACCTCACTGCCAATACAACACAAAACTTTAAACTGAACTTAAGATTAATAGACAAATGTCTATCGCCTTATTAGCTCATTTCGTACCGCACTTTTCACTAGACTAGCCTCCTTTGTTTGATGGTAGTGCTTATATATCCCAATAGAAGTCTTGGGCCGATAGGAATATTCTCAAAGTGACGCGTAACCTAGAACGATTGAGAGGAACAAGTAGAGTTGACTAAAACCAGCGGCGGCTGGCGTTATTTTTTTTAGGGGATAATTTACAAGAGTATTTATTTTTGTTTTTCAAACATGTTTCAATGTAATCATCACTCACCTGTATCTAATGTGTTAACAATGGTTAATAAATTATTTTTATTATCTGTATGTATCTCATTGTATTAATAAACTGGTTCATGAATGCAATGTTCGAACTTGGCTGTGGACTGTGAGAATTTTACCAATGAAGACATCATCAACAGAAAACTCAAAGCGATGGCAATGCAACGACCAAGAAGACCAACAACTGCGATGTCGCTTTCTGTCTATCTGCAGCTACCAAACTCAAAAAAGTTGCTTTCATGCAAACAAAGCAGCAAATCTATTCTCTGACAATTATTTTTTGGGACATTCTTCTTACACACAGATAATTTGTAATACAGGGCAATAGGCACTTGGAGTTTTAAATTAATTCATTAACCATTTCATTGAAATGTAGATCCTAATAATAACATCAGTCCATATTCTGAAGAAAGCTTGTTTTCAATTCAAAACCAAAATAGGATTCGAAGTAACCCATAATGATCATCACCATAACATGAGACAAGAAATATTTACAACCATCTAGGCACAACACTCCACTTTATCAAAAATACCTGCATAGGAGATATCATGGTATTCAGACATTTTGAAGCTGCAGTGTGGCCATTTTTATTATAAGAATTTTTCTCCTCTTGTATCAACATCATGTGCTATATTTCTATATCTTATCAATGTCATTTCCTTTTGTCTGAGATAATTTAAATGACCAGTGACGTCGGACATGATAGAAAGAATTCATAACAACGTTGTTTTTGAATGTTGATTTCATATTATTTATCGTTAGCACTCTTCTAGACAGGAAGTGGCAATGAACACCGTCATCAATAGAATCAACTGCAAACTCAAAACATGATCCAACAATCTATTATTGCTATATCTTCTTACATTGCACTCTGATCTTCATTTGATATTATATGTTTCAGTAATGTGAATTCATTATTTTTGTTACATATATGTGGGTTCAAATAAAAAGTAACACATTTGATGAAATTGAAAATATTCATTCAATAACTCAAAATACTTTACACTTAGTCAAATTATACTTTAAGTATATTTCATCATTTCACTTATTAGTATTGCTTCTAATCTCGTCACTTGTTTTGCTTTCCAAAATAGTTTTTGAAGTGAATCAAATCTGCTTCACACAATTATAAAGTGAATGGCGAAATAAACTTCCCACTAGTATAACACTGTCTAATTCTCTATATTTCAACATATTGATTATTTTTTCACTTATTGAAGATCCGGCAATATTTTTACATTTCATGTAGTAAAATCTCATGTCATAGTTATTTCGGTCATCTTATAGATTTTTTGTTCCATAAACCATTTTTTGTCAGAGTGGTCAAAGTTGCCTGAACAATGTATATTGGAATAGTTTAAGTGTTCCATATTTTAGTTATAATTCATTTATCACAGGATTGTATGTTTGTTTTATGATAGTGGTTTTGATTATCTCTGAAAATGCTAGTAATTGATAACACAGCTGATATATTCAACCAGTTTCATTAGATGACTTTTTACACTTGAATGTGAATATATACAAGTGATAATGTCCATGCTTTGATGTTATTGAGAGCGAAAGTTTTTCTTTTGGAAAAAATACTTCAAAGTAGAATTTGAAATACTCTATGATCTGAAATGCATCATCTCCATTTGAGTAAATAGTTATACATTTGATATAATATTTTGTTCCTGGTTTTGTTATGTCAGTATGCTTCACATGGATTTCATATATTTCACTACATTGTACAATTGAAAAATTGGACGAATCAAAAATAGTTTAACCAGCTAAAAAATTTATTTAAGTTTATTCTTTATGACAAGAAAAACATGTTATTTCTGCATGTTTTCCCATAATGGTAAAATTCATTGAAACAAGAATAAATGAAGTACTCGGTGGAGGGCATCCCATTCCTCTAAATGTACATATTAGTAAAATTATATTCTCATATGTATTGTTACGTTTTTCCCCTTGGGTTAACCAATAATTGACTACACTGAACAATTATCAAACTTAACTTTATTTCACTCTTAATACAACGAAACACTTTAACTGAAACTTCAACCACAGTAGAGCTCAAACCAGTACTCTCACTCTCGTCGGAACTTTTGATGTTTGTGTCTCCCAGTTTTTTTTTTTTGACTACTGTGCATACATAATTATCCGCCCGGAGTGGATTTGTCAGCGTTTGACATTTTATATACTGCTCAACAAGTGAATAATAGATATAAACTCCTCGACAGTAAAACAAATTTCATGCAAAATTAAATGGGTGTTTTGTACTAATGTAGAATATTATGAAACGCTTTGAAGTTTTTATTAAAATCGATTTGAAAATAAGTTATCGAGGAGCTAAAGGAACTTGCAACTTCAAACATAGCTTAATGACATCCAGAAATTGTGTCATTCATTCGTTCGTTCATCAAGCCCTAAATGAAAATATTTGTATAATTTGTATCTGCTACATTTTCATATACAATATTTTGTTGCGAACCTTGTATGTGGCATAAGATTGCATACGAAAAATAACATGATAAAGAATAATCAACACATGAATCAATGCTCATGTTACAATTATAATACTTAACTATAAATGTTAAGGTAATATGCACAAAAGAAGAAAATTGTATTTATAAATGTTGCCAAAAGCGGTAATTACGTGAAAAATTTTAGACATGCAAACGTCTCCGATTATCGAGGCAATTCACGAAGCATCCAAAAACAAGCTGGGATTTGATCATGTGCTGTGTAATTTAATACCAAAGAGTGAGAATACTGACTTTACTGGTTTAAGGTCTACTGTGCTTCAACTATTATTCAAATGTCTATCGCCTTATTAGATCGCTCTGTACGACACTGTCCGCAAAACTTG